TATAAAGTGCACGATTTACCGAGTGATATCACGAAACCTGCGCAAGGCAGCTTTTTACAGCCTCGATATACATAAGTAGTTAGGATTAAAGCTACAGTCCGACCGCGCGCGCGTGCGCGTATCGCGACTATTTCCGCTTAATATCGTTCATTAACACTAGCTGCTGTTACCGTGGCTAATTGAACACGCCTCTCGGAGCAAGTTATCTTCTTCGAAGGGACAATTATAAACGCGATGCATCTCCTTATCGGATACTAGGTATATATTCGCTGATAAGTATCATGCGCGATTGTGGGACGCCGACGTGCCGCGCGTTTGGATTAAAGAAAATCGAACTGAGGCCAGAGATTGTAACGATCGACAGGTCTCAGAATTAAGTATCAGCGTTAATTGCGTTCAGTGTTAGTTGCCTCCGGTACACCATTTGATATCGTAAACCGGCCCGATATAAAATTATTTTTTTTTTTTTAGGTATATTGCATTTACATAATTATCATAAATGCATATATCTTATTCTACGCTATTTATATGGTGAATTCTTTTTTATCTATATATGTACACATACACGTACATATCCGGGATTAAATGGAAATCATTTATTGCGAGATCGGGATGTTTTATTTAGCATTAGATATATTTTCGGATTAAGCGGATTAAGCGGCACATACAAATCCGAAAGTATCTTTGCGCGAAATCAATTATCATCTATAATAATTACTTAAGTCTTACTTAAATCTTACTACTTGCACTGATAAATATAATTATTGAAATCCGTGAAATTATAGGTTTAGAGTTCTTCCTTGTAAGCCAAATATTCTCTTTTCCTCTTAGAAATGTGAAAGAAGCTTTTTAAAGAACGATATAAAATCTTGCTCCGCAAATGTCTTTTTGAACTTTTTATTATCGTTAATTAATTCTCGCTGCTATCATTAATACTACTTAATGCATTAAATTCATTTCTCGTCGTCTAGCATCCTCATATCAAGCATGTCGCGATGTCGCCAATTACGTCGAAGCCTTTTTAATTTCTCTAGCGCAAGAAAAATGTTAAAGGTGTTTGAACTACATCGTCCATCACTTTTATCGGAATGTGGAATATTTTCCGTAGAGGCCCGAGATGGGAAACCTGTCGTGCGCTTTTCTGTGCACAAAGATGAGAGCGGAGGGATCGTAAATCGCGATGGCTGCTTCTAGGTAAATGGGGGTATATGACAGCATTGGTAGGAGAATGGCGCAAGAGAAAGTCATGACAGAAAACAATCTTGATGGCATAAGCCACTTGCCTTCAGTCTTCCGCTAGCCTACGAATTCAGTTTTTTCGAATAAAATAACTTTACAAAAGATTGCATCTACATGAAAATAATGATAATTCATAGACTACTAGTTTACTGAAGCGCAATATTAGCGATTATTCAAATAATCTTTTTGTAAGATTGTAACGCAACAAATAGACATAAATAATTACTCTTGTTATAATATAATGTTATATATATATATATATATATAAAATACACATATATACACAATTATAAAATTATAATATTGTCTAATTAATTGCAACTCTGCAAGAGCATGCATTGAGACTTACAATTCGTCAAAAATAGATGAAGTTCTCTAGTACCTGAAATCATAAAAGAATATAATTAATATTAATAATTTAGTGATTTTTAGACATATATATTATAATAATATAATTTTGTGTACATATATCGATATACACAATTATATTATATATACATATATATAGAGTATTCAAAAAGTCCCAGGATACCTGAATATCATGGAAAATATAAGTTTTAGAGAAAAGTGTTTCAGACAAAAGTTGTAGGATTCAAAAAGATCTATTTATTGATCTTATTGGTTTGATCTTGGATAGCGTCGCCAAAGACAGGGTAAGATTACTTTAAATTTTTTTAATGGAACCCCCCATTTTTCATTGCATATTGTTATAGCTTATTTCGAGAGCTTTCCAAAACACTATAATAAAATAAAATATTTATTATAATGAAATATTTTTCCATTAATCACTTCTCAAATTATAAGGCTTGGAAGTTACAGTACCACCGGGATTATAATGCCTTAGATAATGTTATAACATTATCTAAGATGTCCGAACAATGACTGAAACCTTTTGAATGTTGTTCAGGACCATGAGCTTGACAATATGTGTCAAGACCATAATCATTGGAGATTGTTTCTCTTATTTTCATTTTTGAAAATTTTTATTTTTTGAAAAAAAGAAACTTCCTCCAATAATCGACCTTGATACATGTTGTCAAGCTTATGATCCTGAACAACATTTAAAAGATTTCAGCCATTGTTCGGACACTTACAGATAATGCTAATGCCAGTGATACTGTAACTTTCAAGCCTTATAACTCGAGAAGTGATTAATGGAAAAATATTTTATTATAATGTTTTAAAAAGCTCTCGAGATAAGCTACAAGAATATGCAATGAAAAATGGGGGGTTCCATTAAAAAAATTTAAAGTAATCTTACCCTGTCTTTGGCGACGCCACCAAGATCAAATCAATAAGGTCAATAAATAGATCTTTTCGAACTCTACAACTTTTGTCTGAAACACTTTTCTGTAAAACTTATATTTTCTATGATATTCAAGTGTGTAGGAGTCCCGGGACTTTTTGGACACTCTGTATATATATATATATATATATATATATACATATATATATAAATTAAACAATATATTTACAAAAAATTCGACACGTACATAATAACCGAAGTAAGCGGTTTCCTTGTATAGAAATTGCCATGTCGATACTCCGAATGAGTCTTACAAATATGGTAATTGTTGGATCGAGGGCGATAAATCAGTCCGTGCGACAAATGGGAACATACTTATGGCGACACTTTCTTTATGTTAATTCTCCACGTAAATCGCGCATTCGCCATGATCTGCCGTTCTTTACCGACAGAAAGCGGTCGCAAGCAAAGCGCACTATGCGGCAATATTGCGACAAGACGATAGGAGGTGACGTGGGAGAACGGGCATAGAAGAATGCGTAATTGTTTTGAAAGAGACCGAGCTTCGTCGCCGCCGCCGCCGCCACCGCCGCCGCCGCTGCCGCCGTCATCGTCGTCTTTCGTGGATGTGTGGGATGTGTGAAAGGCGGCCTAGCCTGCCGACGCCGAGCATAAACGACGAGGACAGGTTTCGTTTCTTTCGCCGTCCACATATCCGCCATTCCGACCTCTCTTTTAACGCGATCCCGGCGCATGCATGAGCGTAGAAATCGCCGGTCCATAATGGATCACTGAGCGAGCGTAAAGTACTCGTAATTTTCAATTTATCTTGAAGCTAAAACCGACACTGCAATGTGTTTAATCAATAAATATATTTTTTGGAAGACAAAATAATAGTCACATAACTTGATAGAAAAATCTTTTTTAAAAAATGAAAAATCGTACGATAAAATGGCGATGTGATTATTTTATCTTAATTCTTATATGAAGTGACTCGAACTATTGCATTTTTGATATTATAAATGTATAACAAAACAAATTTTTGTATAACTCTAATCTAACTTCTTTTGTGCAAAAATACACTGAATGTAAAGACAAGCTTCCGAAATTTGAATTAGTTGATAGCTAATACTAGAATTGAATAATCGATACGCTGATTTTATCATTAGTTCAGATATTCCAGCGAAAATCTCATTCGGAATTCTTCGAAACCCTACGAAATTCTTTGTGGTCGAAAACAGAAAAGGTAAATTTTCTCATTAAAATTTCTTCGCATTCTTCACTTGAGATGCGCCCAAAACCGGAGGAACTTTTCGTCGAATCTGTGTAATATTCCATGCCGAAATCGCGTGGAGATATTTCAGGAGGAATTTTTTACCTCACGTACTCGTACCTTCTTCGTCGCGGCGTATTCGCTACGTCGGAGCCATTCAAAATTTTGAAACAAGATATATCCGTTCGCGAGAGAGGTAGTCGAGTGGCGGCATCAACAATAGGGATTATCAGCATTGGCTGAGTCGACTTCAGGTTGATATTGGTCTCTCGAGCCCCCGACATATTGTAATCACGCGGATATATTGTGCTCGTGCAATGTATGCGCGCTTGTCTCCCAGCATCTCTCTCTCTCTCTCTCTCCTCGTGCTACACTATCCACCCCCTCCCCCCTCCGGGGCCACCCTCTTTTGGTCTCTTTCTTCGTGTTCGTCCATTTCCCCCGGCCTCTATCCCCGGCGCGATCAATGCTCTCCTATCCTACCGATAACTCGATAATATTACACGCGAAAACCGCTTCCGACGTGCTCGCCCAGTCAGTGAGCCACTTGTGCGAGCAAATAACCAGTTATCGGAAAACCGATTTTATTTTCGAGGAGGAGCGGTGGTCCTGATTTTTTTTTCGCTTCTCCGCGCTATACTCGACTCTCCTCCTCCTGTTCCATGTCTCGCTCGCTGGTCCTTTCTCCTCTATTTTTTCTTTTAGTTTTGCTCTACACGTGTATACAGTGGAGGACAAAGATTCGCGCGATTAAGGTTGAACGGCGCAATTCTCTTTCTAAACGCGGAATTGCACAATGCCTTTTTTTTGTCAGCCTTTCATTCCGTAGTTACTTCCAAATTTAGAGAAATGAGAATTGTTTGAATATTTTCTCGACTGTAAACAATATTACGGTACAGTTTGTATCTTTTTAAAATTAATTTTTGTAAAAAACATTATATTTTTAATGTACATATTATATATTAAATATCTCTGACACAAATTACGACAAAGTACAAAGTATTTTTAATTTTCCCGACGCAAAAATACTGAAGTTACATTGAATTGCCCCGTCTATCATTTTCATTAAAATGTGGAATATTTTCTGAAGAGACATATTGTACCGCGGTTAAATAAATACAAAAAAACATATAAGAAAATATAATTTAAATAAATTTTTAAATTTATCTAAAATTTAATGCGCTGCACATTATATATTTAATGATTTTGTTTTCATAAATATACTATGATTATATGTTTTAGGTTTTAAAAGATTCGATGATAGAGAGGAACCAACAACTCTCCGAATTGAAGAATCTTTTCGGCTATTTGGAAGAACATCGTTCTCTAAAAGGTTACGACGGTTCGAAAACATCACGGTGAGTTTGCATGATACTTTTTACAAGATACGAAAGCTATTGATTTATTAATGCCCATGAAAATGTTTAACTATAAATATCATTACAACAGATACTTACAATTAGATAATAATATAAGAAAAACGTAATTAAACATATTAATGAAAAGAAACATGATAAAGCAATCTGTTTCTTAACGTGAATAAAAACTTTAATTAGGTCGATATATGTACAATAAACTATGTGTCATTTTCTTCTGATTGTAAAAATTAATCAACTCTTTTCATTGCAAACAATTTTTGCAATTAAAATAATTGACGCATTTTAAAAAAAATTTTGCCAACCAAAATAATTGATTCCATAGTACAGTTAGTAAAAAAGTTACAGATCGTAACGCATTTATATTAAATTTATGACTGCATGGCATTCATATTTTTTATCGTCAAGATATATACGTGTGTAATTTCGTAAAAATCGACGCGGTTATCCGAGATCAAGACATCAACGACGTAGAAAGGAAAGAATCAATCGTACCAATTGAAGATTGATTACGTCGGCGTATCGACGACCGAGATTTAGCGCAGCAATGCAATTTCTTTGTCGTCCTTACTTTGTACCAGGACCTCTGGCGCCTCTTCATCTCCAACGCATCCTGGATCAATCCTTTCTCTTTCGATACCGGATCTGCTATGGGTTTCGCGACAAAACAACCCAAGCGCGTTTGAATAGTTTGCTGCAAGATTGATCTCAGACACCTCTTCTACCGCATCAGTCTTTTTGATACGTTATTGCTTCCATAATCTTCTAACACCTCAAATTTATGACGTAACTTAATACCACATTTATTTGAATATCTTTGAATAACTAACATTAAAAATGGATAAAGTCTGTACAGAGTGAAATTATAAACAAATAGAATAGAATGACTAATAGATTGAAGTTAAAAATCGATTATCCATTTGTAATCTCGTTATATGAAAAAAAAATACATTTATTCCATAATGATGATATTTGAAGATTATACAAGAGGGACGGAATACATTCAACGTTGATGTAATCACTTGTTACTTTTAATTAATATCAATTAATTTTACTCATGTATATCGCGTTTAATCAGGCCCATCTCTCGGGAAAGATATCATAAACCAATTTCCGGCAATGGTATAATACTATAATGCGCGAAATACAATTGATTTATCTGGGGATTGAAAGTGTATTAAAAGCGTGTCTGACATTTACATAACATGTAGATCATTGATATGAACTAAGCTTTTAACGGTAAAAAAATTTTTTTTAATTACAACTTAAATCATATGATTCTTATCATGTTAATTCTAATATTTCGCTGTCTCATATTTCAAAATATAGTTATACAGAAATTTTGAAGGAAGGATTTCCAATTCTGCTGATCGAAATTCTGATGATGTCTGTACGAAATCTAAATTATGTAATACTGTAAAATAAGGAGGATGCTTCGAAAGAGAAAAGATAGCCAAACACATATATTAATGAATTTTAACATACATTGAGTTAAGATCTATAAATATGACAATCATTTTGTTAAAATGTCAATGTAATATTTGCATATAACAAATTTTACAAGAAAGCTATTTTAAATAATAAAATAAAAATGTAAAAGAAAAATTATAGCTTAAAAACCATGTTTTTAAAATTTAAATAATAAAAATATTAATTTGTAAACGTTAAACAACGTTTTGATGTATTTTTTATGATTTTTTGAATATATAAAATTAAAAATATTTCCAATAAAGTTCTTTTAATTATCAAAATTTGATTGCTTTATAAAAATAAATTCTGATAATTAAATAAATATAAATAGAATATTTTCTAAACTAATATAATACTAATTTACATTCTCTCAGTTTATTGTGTCTTTGCAACAATAGAAATCTTGCTTAAGCGTACGTACATATCGGCTTAATCTTGCTTGATTATACTTCTGTCATGCGAAAGTTGTAACTAAGAATACATTTACAACTATATACCGTCTGGAATGTCTACTTGCATATAGCACCGATTATGACCTGCAAGATTTTGCGATAAGAACAATAGAGTTATAAAGTTGTCAAGCTGGAACTTACACTGTCTGTGAGCATTTATGCAAAAGATTTTACAAATTATTGCATCATTCGCTTTATCGTATGCATTAAAATTTCATTAATCTTTTTACTTTTTTAATAAAACAATTTTGGAACATTAATATGCATACTTAATTTTTTTATTTCCAGTAAATTTACAAGAAAGTTTTAAATATAAATTTATGCAGTATAAAACTTCTTAAAATAAAAATTTTAAATTAAACTACACTACAATAACGATATGCAATTTTTGTTATACGAATATACCGTACAGTATTTAAAAAGGAAAATATCTTTAGCTGATGATTTTAATCGTATGGACTTTTGCGGCATAGATACGCAACAAAAATTATTCACAGGGTCATGCAATTTAAACGCATACGTGTACGTATGCCCTCGCGGCCGTCGATAACGTTTTCGACGTCAGCCACGTCAACTCGTTTCTCTCGCAACGTGCGCATAAATCCCTTTATGAGCGTCGTGTCACGAATTCACGGCTTGTCGCCGATTTTATTGCATGGCAGATTGCTCGGCGTAGTCGCGGCTTTTACGCCGCTGGATAGAAGTATCGAAACTTCCGGCATTCCGTCTGACGATGCGCGCGGGAGAGAGGCCCCGAGCGCAAGGTGCATATACGCACGGCGTGTCGAACGCGCGGCGTGCGCGCCAGACGCATAGATGCGGTATAAATGCATATCTCCGTAATGTACGGACCGTCTCGAATTTAGCCTGTCGAAGCGCGTGACGATGTTCTTTTAACGGGTTGAGTGGCTATATGTTATAAAGCCGATATTTCCGTACTGATAGGACGCTTACGCGCACGACTTTATGGACACTTTGATCCAATTTACGTAGACTTTCTTATGTGTCGTCCACGTCTTGTTGGTAAATAAACTGATAGGAAGTACAACAAAAATGTTCGAAGCAAAATGAAGAAAGACTTATGAGAAGTATATTATAGGATCAAGTATCTTTGACTTAAGCTTGGACTTAAGCTACTAAAAAAGTAATATTTTATTGTACAATCTATATGAAACTTTTTAATATTTAATCCAGAAGCCGGATAAAAAATATTTTTTCTCGTCTATTGAGTTAAAGAGTTCTATTCGTCGTATCTGAACAAATCGTAAGTTGATCAGTTATTATCTATCTTTCGTGACGTTATATTGCGAAAGAAGTGGAACTTTTCCGTTTCATATGTATGCATTTTGATATCAGACGAGGCGATGTATAATACAGGAACCCGCGTGACTTAAAGCTATAATTCAACGTGGTGATAATTGTCGCGAATTAGTCCACTAAATCAGTCGTACGCCCTTACATTCTCTACCTCGGTTTCCCCCCCACTCGCACTTATCGCCGATAAATGGCGGCTCTTTCCTTTCCCTTGATCGCGTGATCGTTTGGCGTAAATAACAATTAAATAAAACGCGGAGTACGAACTCGCCCTCATTTCCTGTCTACTTTTTCTATCTTTAGCCGTTGGTGAATTATACCGTTGTCATCATAAATCCCACTTACCCGCGGTACGCATAATGACTGATAATTAGACGAACCATCAGTTTGCGAGAATTTTGTTTGATTCTCGATTTGCTATATTTCTCTTATTTTGTTTTTTTAAACAATGCATTTATAGCGTTTTTGTCATATCTTTTGAGTGACATTATCAGAATAAAAAGTTTCGAATCAATAATTTAATAACGATCGAATTAATAAAAGATTAATTGCTGATAACGGCGAACAATGATATAACAGTATTACGCATGCAAAGATCTAATTAAATAGGTGATGGATCGTCCTGAGATGCCAATTTATATTGATAATAAATCTCGCATTGCAATTCCGGATAATATAGATAAATTTCCGATAATCCGGGGCGGAGCGATAAATTTCTTTCCAAATCGGGCGATCGGATGCAGGTGTATTACAGGTGCAATACCTGTCGCCAGGTATGACCGCGCACATGGGGCAGGTGATTGCCGACCAGAATCATTTCTTTGTGATATAGAATTGATCGTGATGTACCGACCTTGTAATACATAAGCGCCAAATTTCGATATTCCTCTTTTAATACGTTTCTGTAGATACTATCGTATTATTATGTCTAAAATTTATTCGTAGTGCTGCAATGTGCGACACGCGTTATCGACATGTATGCATGTATATTAATTGCCAACATCCAAAGTCTCGATGAATGATGGTAGAGGGGTATAAGTGGTTGTTTTATCTATGTGACGGAAAATGCTGATTTCTGCGTAAGAGGCTATTACGGAGAAACTGTAATTAATCTGTATATCCAATGCGAAGAATATTCATTTTAATAATTTACATTATCGGTTATTACGAATATCTGAATGTAAAATATATGAGGGGACATGGGCGTAATTTGAAATATCGCCGAGTCTTGTAATCAAAATTATGTATACGCATGTTTTCTCGTTCCTTTATCCGTTATTTAACTCTCATTCATATTCTTTTCTCTCGCTCTTTTCCCCCTCCTCCCCCCCCCCTTTCTCACTCTTTCACTCACTTAATTCGGGCGGAGAGTGTATGATAGTCCCCTTGCCCCTGGAAATATCCAAGTGTACAGGTGTAAGACATGGACGTAACGGATTCCACCTGCAATACGACCAGCAGTTAACTCCTAATTAAGAGTATCGCTCTTTATCGTTGATCGTTCCGTGGCGATCCGCCAGACGCGTATACACTCCGCAGAAATTATTCACACAAGTTGGCGCTCAGGTTTTAGCATTAGATATATACGATGTGGTGTGTTACGTTCGTTACCGGTGCGATAAGAATCAACTCCATTTTCCCGCGTCGAAGTCCTTTAAATGGAAACGATTTTCATCGTGCGGAGAAAATGAGTGGTACGCTCTACAGTGTTCTTCTATAAGGGGGAGATTAGTTTTAATGAACGCT